GGGTTGTGAATGGCTTTGGGTAGCTAATCTACAGTGCTTCCCATACACTTCCTCTCATTCCTGTCATATTTAACCTTAAGTCATTCCCAGCAGTACTTTGAATTAAAGGCCATTACTCGCATTTCACCAATGAGAAAACCCAAGGCTTCAGAGATAACATTTTCATGACCCAGGTCTGTCATGGCCTCCTCTTGGAAGAATTTCTTGTCTGCTCCAACGCCAGGCTGAGTTAGTTATGTGCCCTTCCCTGTGTATCTTGGGCCTGCATCATGTTGACCTTTCCGAGTGTTCCTGAGTGATGTGTGAGTCCCACCAAGGAAGCCTGTGTCTCTTGCATCCTGGCAGGGTCACAGGCCCAGAGCTGTGCCTGGGAGTGCTTGCTGAATAACCAGGGCAGTGGTAGCCTTGCTCCACTTGGGACGCCTAGACCCCTAGAGTGCTATAGCATTGCTTTAGAGGACAGAGCCAAGTCAGATCCCCAGAGGACAGAGACAAGTCAGACTCCCAGAGGACCTGCCCCACCGGGAACAAGGTCCGTGCATGGTGTGGCCAGAGCTCAGATCTGACTCCCTGTGAGCTGTGAACTGCACTGCCCCTGGGGCCCTGGGGTTGGGGAAAGGCGGGGAGGGGAGACTGACGCCTGGAGCATTCCCCCAGGGCAGTGCAAAGGGAAATTATAAGATCCTCTGCAATGTGGTTTGCATTACTGCAGCTTCAGCCATGGAGGGGGCTCCTTGAGTCGGGCAGGAAGCAGAAAATATCAGATTTAGATCCCACATTCCGTGCATTGTATACAATTATCCACTGGAGCTACATAGGGGTGAGCAGGACCCACAGAGACAGAAAATGGGACTGCTCTCAGGGACGGGGTCGCTCTATCGTGGGGGACCAGTCATATTCTTGGCAGGCACCACTAGCGCCACGTCCCTGGTGGTGTGCATTTAGGAACCCTGGGCCAGGGCTGAGTTTCACTCGCTGCAAGGCATTGGTGACTGGCAAGCTGCCAGCTGCAGCGACAACGGCGGGGGGG